CAATATGTTGGGCATGCGGAGAGACCGAGTTTGCAAACTTGATTAAAATTAAGGCTCTTTGCTTTTACATATGGGACTCGGTCTCCTTTGTTAGCTTTTGTGGGGACCCTGCAGATTTCGGCATAACATTTTTCAGGGGGCTTAGGCCCACAAAAGGGTGGGTTAGGTCTGTTGGCACAGGCCTCTCTTAAGATATGCCTAGACAACTTAGTAGGACCTGTCTGAAAATAGAAAGTAAACAGAAAACTGTGGCTATACTTTATACCTCAGTGATAGAGCACCTGCCGACCACGTAAAAGGTCCTAGACTAAATTCCTTAGTACAAGAATGAAGGGGAGGAAAAACTGAAGGAAGAAGGAAGAGAGAGATGGACCCAGGGGATTAGGGATGGAGGAAATTGGTAGTACCACCTGTCCATCTGACCACCTAAATGTCTGTGTGTCCTTTTTGCAGTAAAATAGCTTCCTTCCCTGAGGAAGAGAGTTAAGCTTCGTACCCAGTGTTACCAAAAATAAAACTACAACAATTTAAAGATCTTCAGTTGGATATACTTTGTTTTAGAATTAGGCACTTTTTTAAAAAATTGTTTTTATTGAACAATGTATTTTTTTCCATTCCCCTCCCTTTCTCTCCCCCCTTCAACCCTCTCTCATGGTCCCCATGCTCCCAATTTACTCAGGAGATCTTGTCTTTTTCTATTTCCCAAGTAGTTTAGATCCATGTATGTCTCTCTTAGGGTTCTCCTTGTTGTCTAGGTTCTCTGGGATTGTGAATTGCAGCTTGGTTTTTCTTTGCTTTATGTCTAAAAGCCACTTGTGAGTGAGTACATATGATATTTGTCTTTCTGGGTCTGGTTTACCTCACTCAGGCACTTTTCAATATAGAGTAAATGTTCCTAGGAGACAGACTATAGTATAGTACAGCTATAGAGACTGAAAACAAAGGAAAGAATCAAGGAAAAGTGAGCCTGCCATAGTGACTCATGCCTGCAGTCCCAACACTCAGACAGCTGAGACAAGGACACTCATGCACGGCTAAGACTATCCTGACTGCAGTAGTGAATTCTAGACTAATCTGTGCCACAGACTGAGCTCCTGGGATAAAAAGGGAAAGGAAAAGTGATCTGGCTATTTGAAAGTTATTTTCTTTGTAAGATAGGACCACAATATAATTTGAAAAATCCTAGGTTGCTTTAGGCTAATTTAGTATTGGTTTTGAGGGTTTTGTTTTGTTTTTTTGTTTTTGAGAAAGTATAGAAGGTTGAAGGAGTTTTACCAGCAGGCTAATTGAAACTTTTTCCTTGAAATATCTCTTTAATCATGATTTCTCTAAAGGTGAAATAAATAGCTGGATGATACATGTTATTGTGAGTCATCCTATTTTTGAATTACAGTCTAATCTTTAGGGGCAAGAGCGGGAGCAATGGGACTCTGTGATTTTTGTATGACATGTTTACACTGGAGAGATGGCTCGGTGGTTCACAGCACTTGCTTCTCTTGCAGAGAACCTGGGTTTGAGTCCCGGCACCCATGGTGGCTCATAACTGCCTGTGACTCCAGTTCCAGGGGATCCAGTACCATTTTCTGGCCTCCTCGAGCTACCACACAGAAGTGGTATATATAAACTCACATAAGCAAACACACAAAGACATGAAATAAAAATGACATGTTTCAAAAGTAAGTTTTAAAATACAGATTGAGGGGTTGGAGAAAAGGCTCAGTGTGTAAAGAGTTTAATGCACCAGGAGTCTGGATTCCTAGCACCATGTAAAGTCAGTCTATGACAGGTAAGTCCTGAGGGCTTGCTGGACAGCCAGTCTAGCTGAGAGAGCAGGCGGCTCGTTTTGTGAAAATTGGGTGGAGATGGGTGTAGGAAGGCCGCTGGGCTCCACGTGTGCTTGCATGGGAGAGTGCACAGCCACACACTGATAGAAAAGGACGATCATAAAAGCACAGTCTCACTCTCAGTGTTTCTAATTTACTACAGAGCTTAGCAATTTTTGCGTGATTAATTTTTGTTCCTTCTTGATAACTCTCACCTTTTCACCTAATCAAACCCTCTTTGGCATATCAGAATGGCCAGTACTGTTGCCCTTTGCATGCTGGGAGCATTCATAAGTAAAACAAAGATGACTTTGACAGCGGTAATGGAGCTGACAACCGGGACACTAAGTGACTGGCAGAAGCAGCATCCGCATTGCCGATTCACGGAGCAGAGGAAGCAATGATTCATTCCCTAGGCAGCCCTGAAAGAATGGCCAGGGAATTTATTATACTACTCAAAATAGTGCTCAGGTTAAAACTAGGCGTTGTTTGTTCCTGGAATTTTCCTTGTAACGTTTTCAGACTATAATTAGCTGCAGGTAATTGAAATCTCCGATGGTAGAATCAGGAAGGTGTGGCACAAGCCTTAACTGTCCTACCTCAAACACACTTCCTTGACCTCATTGCTGGTGGGAATGCAAACTGGTATAGCTGCTTTGAACATCAGTATAACGATTTCTCAGAAAATTAAAAAAACAACCTTCCTCAAGACCCAGCAATACCACTTTTGAGTATACATCCAAAGGATGCTCAATTGTACCACAAAGACATGTTCATAGCATCATTATGTGTTATAACCAGGACCTGGAAACAACCTAAATGTCCCTTGACCAAAGAATGGATAAAGAAAATGTGTTACATTTATACAATGGATTACTACACAATGATTAAAAAAAAAATGACATCTTGAAATTTGGATCTGTATGGATCTAGAAAACACTGAGTGAGGTAACCAGACCCAGAAAGACAAATATAATATATACTCACTCATAAGTGGCTTTTAGACATAGAAAAAAAAAACAACCTACAATTCACAATCCCAGAGAACCGAGACAACAAAGAGGACCCTCAGAGAGACATACACAAATCTAATTTACATGGGAAGCAGAAAAAGACAAGATCTCCTGAGTAAATTGGAAGCATGGGGATCATGGGAGAGGGCAGAAGAGGAGGGAGAGGAAAGGAGGGGAGCAGAGAAAAATGTATAGCTCAATAAAAACAGTAAAAAAAAAATAGTTAAGCATATGCCAGGTGTGGTGGTGCATGCCTTAAATCCCTGCACTTGGGAGGTGAGTCTGAGGCCAGCCTGCTCTACATAGTGAGTTCCAGGCCAGCCAGGGCTACATGGTGATACCCTCAAATACAAATAAACTGCAATGTAAGGTAAATACACGACATAAATAATCCATCCTGATGGGAACACATATAAAAACAATTACATGAAGACACCTCATTAAACTTCAATAACGTCTAAGAGTGGCCAAGAGGTGAGAGGAGCAAGGCAGTCACGAGGGTGGCAAAGAAAGTCACTCCAGGCAAGAGAAACATTGCTAAGACCCTCAGTTCCAAGAGAGTATAATCTAGTTGCTATCTCTTAAGATAAGTTAAATAGGTTTGGGCTGATAGGAGGCAAAATAAAAAGGATATAAATAGATCCTAATGGCTAAGAGAAGACTGCATTTGAATAAGTCAAAGCCAAAACTAAATATTTTAAGCATGGATGTGACAAGATCAATTTTTTTTTTTTGAGAAACCAACTATACATAGGTAAATCAATTCAATAAGGACCCCCTCATTTAAAAAGAATCTTTAACATTTTGAAACAGCATTAGCTACAATAAAAAATGGTGTAACCTACTACTTATAATACAGGACAATTACTTTTGTAGCTTAAAATGTGATATATAAAAAATGTAGGCACTATATAAAAGAAGGAACTAAGCTGGGCATGATGTGAATGAATACTCACAACCTCAGTCCTTGAGAGAAAAACTACTGTGAATTCAGAAGCCAGACTGGGCTACAGAGTTAGCCAGGCTAGCCAGGGCTAAAGAGCAAGATCCTACCCCTTCCTCCACAAAAGACAAAATTATCTCTGCAAACTGAACTTAGCACTAACAGTTCCAGCAACACAACGGGTATCTATCTCTATGCTTTTGTCAGCAATTGCAAGGCAAACCGTGATTAGCTTGTGACATATGATAAATGACCCAAGGACCGAACTATGGCATCCATGGCACTAATTCATGCTGATCAGGGAGAGCTGCACTGTCGGGGATTTTGTCGCTGTTTTGTATTAGTTCTGTATCTCATGAATTGATACCACAAGGTCTTTAGGCATAGCCAACCTTTCTACTAACTGAACCACAATTCCTAACAGAATACTTGAAGGATTAAATAACAAAACTGATGGGGCTGGAGAGATGGCTCAGAGGTTAAGAGCACTGGCTGCTCTTCCAGAGGTCCTGAGTTCAATTCCCAGCAACCACATGGTGGCTCACAACCATCTGTACTGACATATGGCGCCCTCCTCTGGCATGCGGGTAGAGGCAGAATGTTGTATACATAATAAATAAATAAATTTATAAAAAAAAAAAATAACAAAACTGATATAGTTACTTATGATGACACATTTTAAAGTATATAATATAAAGAACTGGGTCACATTAGAAAGTACTGGTAGATGTAATACAGCTTAAATTCTGTTATTATTTAAGTAACTATCATTTGGTAACATGACAATTTTCTGCTCACAAAGAATTGTATGGGGGGGCTGAGTAGGGGGTTCAGCCAGAGGCAGTGGGTTACAATTTCCCATCTTGTGTGTTTATAGATTTTGTCTTGTGTGTATGTATCTGTGTATGTGTTTCTTGTGCTTTCCGTTGTTTTGTTTTTCATTCTGGTTTATTTGCTTTTTGTTAGCCTACTTTTCTAAAGAGAGAGAGAGAAAACTGGAATGAGGGAGAGGGGAACATCTGGGAGGAATTGGGAGGGTTGAGGATTCAGGAGGAGTTGGGGAGAACTGTAATCACAATACAGTGTATGAAAAAATTATTTTTAATAAAAAAGAGTACAAAATACTAATAAATAAGCTGATTGCTACACTGAAAACATATTAAAGTGGCAGAATGAGCTTCTCTAAATCTAAAAGAAAGACATACATATAGTTTGATAAGACTATAAAGAAATATAACCTGTGATGACCGGTGGTGACACTTGAGTTGTCTGTCCTGTGACCGCTTTACTATTAATTGGTTTTGCAAAGATCAGCTTCGTGATCACTGGACCAGAGGTTGGTGTTCGAGGCTTCTTAGCAATCTGAAACATATAGATAACTATGAAGACATCTGTTTCCATAAAAAATCTACGAAGGAAAGTTAGACAAGATTCATACACATACTTAATTCGTACATTAAGTCAGGTTATTTACCAAATTTATCTATGTATTAATGTATAAAACATTTAAAACAAACCAATTCACCAAAATATTAATATGATCATATCTATAAGCTCATATGTCCTAATTCCTCTAATTTCATAAATCCCTAGTCTCTCTGAAACATGCAGATGGTGAACAAAATAGTAAAGTTTAATAATAAAAGTGTTTAATAGTGAAACACTATGCACAATGTTAGTTTCCAAAAAAGCTATTCAATAACAAAAAGATGGAGTTCAAAAAGTACAATACAAACAATGAGGTACCACTGCACACATATGCATGACCACCTTCATCTATGATCCAAAATGTAAATTATTACGTATTACAGATTTTCAACTACATTTTCTTTCTTTTCACTTTCTCTTTTTTGCTCATTTTGTTTTTGAGATAGGCATCAGTTCAGGCTGGCCTGGAGCCCACTATGTAGCCCAGGCAGACCTTGAACTCATGGCACTCTCCCTGCCTCAGCCTCCCAAGTACTGAGATTACAGGCATAAGCCACCACGTTTAGCAGACTTTCCATAGGAGTGAAAGAAGAACTGAACCAGTTCAAGTCAATTACAAAGACAGTTTTGTAGAAGATCTGTAAAAGGCTCTGAAACATAGTTACTAAAATAGTATTTATTGTACTTTAAACTACTGGAAGGGACTATCCATACATTATTTAATTCATCTCCAATATGAAGTTAAAATATGGGCACACTGCTGACCTAAACTAAAATTTGCCACAAGTCAAAAAAGAGAGAGGTACCAATGTAGTACAGTTATTTTTTGAGACAGGGAGGGTCATTCTTGTGAAGCTAACTAATGAGACCATGCTGGCCTCGGACTCCCAGGAAAGATCACAGGTGTGAGCCACTGTGCCCAAGACCGATGTTTTTATACTGAAATTGTCAGGAAAGGCAAAGGCATAACTGCTAAAAGAAAAGAGCGGAAACTTACCTGGCATAAACTCAAAGTTTAGTGTGTGAGGAACAGTAACTATTTTACCTTTAGACAGGCCCTAACGTACTATTTATTACTGGAGGTGACAAAGTGAGTACGCATGACCAACAATAGCAATCCATCAGAAACAATACTGATCACAGTCAGGCATCAGTTCTATGTGTTCAAACTACAAACAGCATGCTATCTTACACTCACAATGTAACTTTCTTGCACTCAGAACTTATTAGTGACACAAATACCTCTGAGAGAAAATCGTATTTTCACAAAAGGAAGTCCATCCATTAGTGTGTAACAATACATCCAGCTTGCAAGCCATGACACAGCTGCGTAAATTCACTGTGCTCTGGGAAGCTGATGTAGTCTTGAGACATGAAGGGAAGCACTTCCCAAGAGCTTACTAAAGCTCTAAAGCAAAGTGGAATCTCACATATATATAGTATCAGTAACCACAGAGGTAGACTGTCTTAGAAACACCTAACCTTAGCTATTAAAAGTAAGACTTGAAAGTATCTCCCCCTTTCCTGATTTTAACCATTATATATTATATGCTTACCAAACAGGAAAAAAATCCAAACACTGGAAGCAAAATTACATTAATTATTCAAATGAACGATCTCATCTTGCTCTTATGGTTGTATTCTTTTAGTGGAGCACTGTTCAAAATAACAATTTCCAGATCCATTAAGGAACCATAATTAGTTTTCAAAAAAAGCCCTCACATTGCCTAGGCTGGCCTTGAAGTCCTTATCCTTCTGCCTCTACCCCCAAGCTCAGGGATTACAGACATGTACCACCACACCTGGCTTTATGTTCTGGATATGGAATGCAGGACTTTGTGCATGCTCCTGAAAATGATTCTTGATTTATTAATTATGTATACAGTGTTCTGTCTACACGTATGCCTGTACACCAGAAGAGGGCACCAGATCTCATTACGGATGGTTGTCAGTTACCATGTTGTTGCTGGGAATTGAACTTAGGACCTCTGAAAAAGCAGCCAGTGCTCTTAACTGCTTAGCCATCTCTCCAGGCCCTTGAAAATGATGCTTTATGCTTATTTTACTTACACTTTTGTTCTAAGGTAGCTTAGGAATCAAAGTGAAAGGGGATGCTGCCTGGCCTGGGTTCATTTGCTGGAGTGCTTGCCTGGCATACACAAAGCTCACCAGTGGTTTAGAGCACTTGTTACTCTTGCAGAGGACCTAGCTTCCTTTCCCAGCACCCTAAGAAAGGCTCAAAACTATCTGCAACTTCAGTTTCAAAAGATCTGAAGCCTTTTGGGATTTGCAGGAACAAGGTACACACATGGTATATATACATACATACATATATACATTTAAGCAAAACATTCATTCACATAAATAATTTAAACAAAAGAAAACCTTAAAAAATTTAAGAAATTTTCAATATATTTATGAAACTAGAAGATTAATACAAAATGAAAAAGGAAGAAAATTTACAAATAAGGTAGAAAAGTAAGCCAAATAACTCATGCAAATAGCTCTCAGCATGCCGTCCCAGACCTGCTAGCTGCTTACTGTTCTCCCACACGGGGCACTGCAAACACGGGCCAATGGTTAGCTATCTGGAATTGGGTATGTCTACACACCCATCATCATCATGCTACAGTCAATACCGTCACTAATTCTGAACGTGAGTCTTCACTCTCACCTGCTGTCCATGCTCAACCACCTCAGTACTCTAACTAAACTCAAAACAATGCTGCAGACTACATGGGGGAAATCAGATTTCTATGCATATAGGCCTTGAAATATATGTATCATGGGGACTAATGTAGAAAACTCTAAGTTTGTAGTTACTTATTAATGGAGGAAGATCATTGGTTAAATAAAAAGAAACTGCTTGGCCCTCATTGGTTAGAAGATAGGTGGGAGGAGTAAACAGAACAGAACGCTGGGAGGAAGAGGAAGTGAGCTCAGACTCCACAGCTCTCCTCTCGGGAGCAGAGGCCTCAGAGAGACGCCATGCTCCCAGCTCCCAGGCAGAAGCACGCGATGAAGCTCCGACCCAGGATGGACATAGGCTAGAATCTTCCCGGTAAGCGCACCTAGGGGCACTACACAGATGATTAGAAATGGGCTAAATTAATATGTGAGAATTAGCCTAGAAGAGGCTAGATAGAAATGGGCCAAGCAGTGATTAAATGAACAGTTTGTGTGTTGTTATTTCGGGCATAAGCTAGCCAGGTAGCCGGGGTGCTGGGGACGCAGCCCCGCCGCCCTTATTACTACAACTTATTTTTTTTTTTTAAGTGTTTTAGGGTCTCAGAAGTTGCTTCTGAGTTAGAAACATTTGAGTTACCTGAAATCAGCTGGATACTTAGAAAATATTCTAGTATGTTTCCTTGGTTTTCTGCTGTTTATTTCAATTATTTAATTGATTATTTTACTTATCTATTGGTTTTTTGTTTTTGAGTCAGGGTCTCACTTTATCATCCTTCTCGCTGTCCTGGAACTCATTATGCCAACCAGGCTGTTCTCAGACTCAGAGATCCGCCTGTTTCTACATCCTGAATGCGGGGATTAAGACACGTTCCTCCACGCCCAGCTCTGTTATATATTCTTTTAAGAAACATAACTTTTAAAACAAATGGAATCAGTCTTTATAAAACCAACAACAATAAAAAGAAGTGAGTGTTAGGCCAGAGTCTTTTACTATCAATACTTAGAAAATTAGAGTAGGAAATTAATGGATAGAAATAAATTACTTATTGAAACTGTACACTGCTCTCATGAATGAAAAAAATCACTTTGATTTCTATCATTAGTTCTTTGAGACCATGATAGTGATCCACACTGCCAAGGCCAATCAAAATAGGCTTCGATACTAAGGACAGGATACTTAACAGTGATAGGCTAGGCTATCTCATTCAAGAGCGCCTCAGCAAAATAAATAAATAAACTAATTAAAGCATGAGGTAACAAAGATGGAGAACATGAACTATTAAATAACAGCAGAAAGGATACAGCAAGTTACAAGACTTGAAAAAGTTTAAGCTTCTTAATGCAAAGTTCCTGAGAATTAACGTCTCTAATTCTTTTCCAACACAGTAACCAAAACTTGAATGTAAATATCAGCTAAGAGGAAACACCTCTCCCAAATTCCTTACACTCCTTCCTTTGCTACTTTGGCTCATACCTTCTTGTCTGTCTTTCTTTCTTTCTTTCTTTTTTCTTTTTTTTTGGTTTTTCAAGACAGGGCTTCCCTGTGTACTCCTGGCTGCCCTGGAACTCACAGAGATCTGCCTGCCTCTACCTACCAAGTGTAGCCACAGCTGACTACCTCCTGGTTTCTTTTAAAAGACAACCTTCCAAACATGGGATGGACTGTGTTTTCCTTCTCGTAAGTGAATCACTATATTTCTAAATATTTCTAAGCATTCTGCTATCCTAAAGAGGCTTTTCTGGACATTAGAAGAAAAAAAAAACAAAAAACATTTCATGTATGCTCTGGTAATCCGCTATTTGAGGTATTTGAGGGTATTTTTCATACTATTAAGTGCTATTCTGAAGGATCTTCAATGTTTTAAGAACTGTGCAATTCTATATTGCTTTGTTTTGTCTTGTTATATGATCAAGTAGCCATCTTAAGCTAAGGTAAAACTTCAGAGAGGAAGTTACCCCCAGTTCCACAGTCAGCAGGACAGTACAGGGGAGACAAGCCCAGTGCTCTGCTCCATCCTATTCACTGTCTTCCTCACACTGCAAACATGAACGATGGACAAAAAAGCTCCAAGTAAGATAAACGCTGGTGAGCATCAGCTATTGCTGCACCCAACGGTTCTCAGAGCAGCAAAGTTTAGCCTTTAGTCATTAATTAACCAATAAAAAAAGAAGGTTGATTACTTGATGGCTCTGCAGTAAGTAAGTAGGGCATCTTTATGCCAGCAAAACAATACTCTTGTAGGCAAACTATCACTATGCATAAAATCTTTAAAAAGCTACAAATAAACAATTCAGAAATTTAACCAAAATTTAGTTTGCTATGAAGTTTTCTGGTAAAAAGTTTCATGGGCATTAGACATACCAAATTTAAAAACAAAACAAATTCATACAATTACTTTAAAACATTCAAAAGAATTCATTAGAAGTTATGCAATTAACAACCCTATAAACACAACTTTGAGTCAGTTTAATTTTTTAACATGCACTTTAAGTAATATGCCCCCTTTGTTGCTTTTACCTGTACTGTTTTTAACTGTTGGGTCTGTAACACAGAGGGCTGAGTTGCAGTATTAATCAGTTGACTTCCTGGGGTCAATGCTGAGACACCAATGACAGGTTTCACCTCTGGCCCCCCTCCAATGGTAACTACTTTAATTTGCTGCGGTGGCAACTTAGCATCTCCTGGCTGGGCCTGAGCTGTAACTTTCTGAGCCTGGGGTAGTTGGCTATGGGGTAGTGCTAAAACAATTGGTGAACCAGATTTGCCCAAAGTTGTTAAAATTAACTTCTGTCCATCTGGTTTAAGGGTCTGATTGCCAAGTTTAAGATCAGATGTCTGTGATACTTTGTTTAGAATAATCTGATTGGCTGATATAGTCACAGGAGTCTGAGCACCAAGTTTTTGAAGGCCACTTGGAAATGCTGGTTTCACTGTGGTATTAGAATCTGCTTTAGTAACTGTGGTATTCACTGCGACTTGGTTAGTGTGGTTACTGTACACTGTGATGGGTTCCGTGGAAATGGGCGTGGCTGTAGAGTCACCAGTAGAATTTATGCTGACAATTTCTTCCAGTTGTGTCTCCATGGGAATTGGGGATGACACAATCACAGCCTCAATACTATCCTCCTCCACTAAAGTTATAGCAGTGTCCATTATGTCCTCTGGAAGCAAGCTATTCACCTCAGCCGGCACCACCTCCATGACCGCTCTGCTTCTAGGAAGATGCCCAGGTGCTGCAAGAAAGAGGAAAAACTGTTACCAGGTTTTAAAGCACATTTTCAAAAATACATTCAGGAAAAATGTAAATAACAAAACCAACAGTGCTGAAATTAGTAATTAAATGAAGAACATTCTGGATATTTATCTAGATTTCACCATTTTCAAAATAGTAGCTTTTAACAATCTAGGATATGGAATTATCTGTAAATCTTCAATGGTCTATCTTGGTCCTCCATAGGATACTACTGTTAGAAAAATCCACTAAATGTTAATGGAGTTTCTAGACTATGGGACCCAAGTCTAATCAATTAGCTTCACACTAAGGGAACTTTTCTTTGGAGAGATTTTCAAATCCTCTGCCATTTAAAGTGTCAAAGGGGAACTAGTTAAGAATTTACACATCTAGAAATCTGGCTCAGCAAGTAAGAGCAACTGTTGCTCTTGCAAAGCACAGTGCTCAGTTTCCAGCACTCACATGGTGGCTCCTAACATTCTGAAACTCCAGTTCCTGAGGAGCCAAAGCCCTCTTCTGACTTCCATGGGTACCAGGCACACACATGACGCACATATATACATGCAGGCAACACATACATAAGAAATAAAAATAAATATAAAAAGAAGAAAATATATACAGCAGTCGCCATCAAGAGAAAAAAGTAAGTCCAGATTATGGACAAATCAGCTGTAATGCTTTTACCTAAAAATCTTTAGAGTGCCCAATAAAAGAGTGAATTCCGGTACCAGCATGTATTAAAGCAGCCCAGCATGTCTAGACTAGACAGCAGTCAAGTGTTTGCTCAGAGAACTTCAAAACCCTTTAGAACCCCACCAGCAATTCTTCCTCTTCTTGGAGGCATGACATCATCTCACCACTGGCTCAATCCTTCAGCTTCCTGAGTGCTAGCACTGCAGGTGGCATCACCACACCCATCTTATTTTCTTTAAAATACATAACAAGCATTGAAAAATGAAGAGTAGCACATATAGCTGGCAAGGAACATGGCCTGTAATCTCAGCCCTGGGAAGCTGAGTAGGACTGTGGCACGCACGTTCTAGGGCAGCCTGTGTTACACTAAAGAGAAACACATACAAACTACAAACTATATTTAGTAGCCATGGCAAATATTACTGCTGCCAAAATAAGCCATCAGTATAGAGCACTTACTATGGCAAAGATGGCATAAGTGTCCTCCCCAAACCTCTGATTCGTGTAGCATTACCCTATTTCATAGATTAAAAAATGTAGAAAGGTTAAATAATTGTCCAAGGCAAAAGTGAATGGTAGAGGCAGGATTCAAACTCTGGTTTGTATGATTCCAAAGTTAGTCATTTTAACTGCAAAATTATACTATCATAAACGCTGGTGACTAAAATAAGCCTAAGCCTTCACAGTCAACTTCCTGTCCTGAAAGCCCACACTACATGAGTGTTGTCTATCCCAACAGCTTTGTATTTTTGCTCACACTAGAACTTCATGTACAGGAAATCATGTACAGATGTTCCTCAGTGAAAGACGCTGTCCCACAAAAACAATCATAAAATGCTTAAGTCAAATATGCAATCCACCTACCAAACAACCAGATGGCAGAATATCCGACCCCTGGAGGGAATCACAGGCTGCTGTGGGCCACCCCACATGGGTGTTAGAATGAACTGCAGTTCTCGGGAAGAACAACTGGTACTCTTAACCTCAGCCACTGAGCCCTCTTCCCAGCCCCACCTTAGCACGTGTAAAGCAGTGCTTCTCAACCTGTGGGTCAGGACCCCTTTGAGAGTCAGATTGCCCTTTTACTGTGGTCTCAAATCAGGCATCTTGCATATCAGATGTGGACATTAATATTCATAACAGAAGCAAAATTACAGTTATAAAGTAGCAACAAAAATAGTTTTATGGTTGGGGGTCACCAAAGCATGAGGAACTGTATTAAAGGGTCACAGCAGCAGGAAGGCTGAGAACCACTGATGTAAAGGAAGAACGAAACAACTCCGCTGAACTAGTTACTGAGAGTCGACCTTCTGTGGCAGACACCTGTGTACACACAGTTGTATCGCATGCCCTCCTGACAGCATGACTCTGACACAGTCCGCACTGCTGCTCTCAGCACCAGCTCTTCCTTCTGACTGTTAAGTATATCCTACTGCACAGCTCTCCCACACTTTGTGTATCCATCCACTTAGTACTGGGCATTGGAACTTTCTCAGTCTGAAACTGCTATGGTAACCCTGCTGTAAACATTAAGTTCAAGGTTCATGGCTATGTCTTTCCATTTCTTTTGAGGAAGAAGTCAAACTTTTATGGTTCTGTTGGATGCAGGCACTCAGATTACCTCATTCAGTAGGGGTGGAGCATCCAGGTCATGAGCACATCTGTAGTAGGATGAAGAGCCTGTGTGACTGTGGGTGGGGCCCTTCGTGGGTGTGGTAGAGACTGTGTGGCTATGGGTGGGGCCCTTTGTTGTGTGTGGTAGGGACTGTGTGGCTATGGGAGAGGCCCTTCATTACGTGTGGTTAGGATTTTCACTGAAGCATATGTCACTGGGGTTGGTATTCTGTGAGCCTGTACTGTGAATGCCTGTAAACCTATCAGTATCCATGGGGTGTTTATAGCTTTGGCTGTGTTCAGCACCCAGTTTGTGTGCCATGCCTCACTTCTCCATTTTCCCCAAAGTTTGCAAACTATAATAATTATTTTCACCTACGTATTATTGGGACTGATAGTTTTCCAGCATATATAAAGAACTCATTCAGCTCAATAAGAATCCTAAAAGCTAGCACCCCCCACCCCGCCAAAAGGTCTTAAGGCTGGTGTTGCTGAAATTATAGGCATGTGTCACCATGTCCCTGCTATTAAGTCACTCAAATGCACTTGCACATATTCTTACACACACACACACACACACACACACAATTACACATGAAAAGATAGTCACACAGATGATAAAAGGGTTGGGGAAGAAATCAGAGAATCAATACCCTTCACAATAGCCACAAATAGCATAAAATATCTCGGAGTAACTCTAACCAAACAAGTAGAAGACTTGTATGACAAGAACTTTAAATCTTTGAAAAAAAAAAAAAAGAAGACACCAGAAAGTGGAAGATCTCTCATGCTCTTGGGTGGGTAGATCTAATTTTTTTTTTGTTTTTGATTTTTCGAGACAGGGTTTCTCCGTGGCTTTTGGTTCCTGTCCTAGAACTAGCTCTTGCAGACCAGGCTGGCCTCGAACTCACAGAGATCCGCCTGCCTTTGCCTCCCGAGTGCTGGGATTAAAGGCGAGTGCCACCACCGCCCGGCGGGTGGGTAGATTTAACATAGTAAAAATGGCAATCTTACCAAAAGCACCTACAGATTCAACGCAATGCCCAGCAAAATTCTTCAAAGACCTCGAAAGAACAGTACTCAACTTCACATGGAAAAGCAAAAAACCCAGGATAGCCTAAACAGTCCTGTACAATAAAAGAACTTCTGGAGGCATCACAATCCCTGACTTCAAACTCTACTATAGAGCTACAGTACTGAAAATAGCCTGATATTGGCATAAGAACAGACAGGAGGACCAATGAAACCAAATAGAATACCCAGATATCAATCCACACATCTTCAAACACATCATCTTTGATAAAGAAGCAAAAAATATCAAATAGAAAAAAGAAAGTATATTTAACAAGTGGTGCTGTCATAACTGGATATCAACACGCAGAAGAATGAAAATAGATCCATATCTATCACCATGCACAAAACTCAAGTCCAAATGGATCAAAGACCTCAACATAAAGCCAGCCACACTGAACCTTATAGAAGAGAAAGTGGGAAGTACACTTGAACGCATTGGCACAGGAGACCACTTTCTAAATAGAACCCCAACAGCACAGACACTGAGAGAAACAATTAATAAATGGGACCTCCTGAAACTGAAAAGTTTCTATAAAGCAAAGAACACGGTCAACAAGACAAAAGGGCATCCTACAGAAGGGGAAAAGATCTTTACTAACCCCACATCAGACAAAGGTCTGGTCTCCAAAATAAACAAAGAACTCAAGAAACTGGAGACCAAAAGATCACATAATCCAATAAAAAAAAAATGGAGTACAGACCTAAACAGAGAACTCTCAACAGAGGAATTTAAAATGGCTGAAAGACACTTAAGGAAATGTTCAACATCCTTAGTCATCAGAGAAATGCAAATAGAAACAACTCTGAGGTTCCATATTACACTAGTAAGAATGGCCAAGATCAAAAACATTGATGAGAATTTATGCTGGAGAGGTTGTGGGGGAAAGGGAAAACTGCATTGCTGGTGGGAATGTAAGCTAGTACAACCCCTTTGGATGTCAGTGTGGTGATTTTTCAGAAAATTAGGAAACAACCTTCCTAAAGATCCAGTAATACTACTTTTGGGTATATATCCAAAGGATGCTCAATCGTGCCACAAGGACATGTGCTCAACTATGTACATAGCAGCTTTGTTTGTCATAGCCAGAACCTGGAAACAACCTAAATGCCCCTCGATCGAAGAATGGATAAGGAAAATGTGGTACATTTATACAATGGAGTGCTACACAGCAGAAAAAAATAACAACACCTTGAATTTTCCAGGAAAATGGACAGAGCTATAAAACATTATTTTGAGTGAGGTAACCCAGACACAGAAAGACAATTATCACATGTACTCACTCATAGGTGGTTTTTAAGCATAAAGCAAAGAAAGCCAGCCTACAAACCACAATCCCAGAGAACTTAGACAACAATGTGGACACTAAGAGAGACGTACATAGATCTAATCTACATGGGAAGTAGAAAGTAGAAAAAGACAAGATCTCCTGAGTAAACTGGGAGCATGGGGACCTTGGAGGATGATTGGAAGGGGAGGAGAAAAGCAGGGAGGGGAACAGAGAAAAATGTAGAGCTCAATGAATATCAATAAAAAATAAACAAATAAATAGTTGTAATTGAAAAAAAGAAAAGATAGTCACATTGTTATAGCTTTCTGTGGTAGAGTATACACTAG